AATTAGCTGAAAAGGGTGGTGGTGGGCATGTCACAGGACACTTGTGTCCCATTGGTGATTGCTCCATTCCATCCCTTCCTGACCCGCTGGCAGGTAGACCAGGCCTCCTTCTCCAGGGGCTAACTCTAGAGTTCCCCATCCCCTGCCTGTGCCTCCCCATTCCAGCCCTGACCATTCTGGGCCATTATTGTCTATCTCCCCACTGGACTGGGAGCTCTGTGAGATTGGGGCCCAGAGCTGTCTAGGTCACTGTTGTGTGGGGACAGGATCACCCCTCAGTGAGAGCTCAATCACTCTCGCTGAGTGCCTGAGTGAAGGGGTTCAATGCCCACCGTGCATGCCCCTCCCCTCCCACCCCACCCCGGCCTTCCAGGGCTCACATGCATCTCTGGTGCACAGCGTCCGAGCAGGTCGATCAAGGCAGCATAGAAGGACATGATGGCATGTCCCAGGTGCACCCGGTTTTCTTCAGGGGGCTCGTCACCGAAGCTATAAGGGAAGGTGGGTGATGTGAAGGAGGCGGCAAGGAGTATGGGGAGGGTGGGTTGCCCTAATGAGGAGGGGGCTGGGAGACTCACTGCTCACGCCGCCGGTCCCTGCGGACACCAGGACCATCCCGTGCGGGGTCCTCGGAGATGCGGATGGCCTCTTCGATGGCAGCCAACAGCCCTGAGCCACCCTCACCCCGCAGGGCAGGTCCGAAGCACTCGGGCTTGCGGATGAGCAGCCGCACCACCACGTTGGCGTTCTCCTCCACGCTCTCGCCTGGCCACCGGGGCAGGGTTAGCCAGTCTCATGAGCCACAGCCCCAGGACCCTCCCCACGTAGCCCCAGGACCCAACACCTTGAGAGGTAATGCTAGGCCCCTGCCTCATGCCCACTTGAAGGGACCCCTGCCCAGGCCAGGCCTGTGGCTCAGGGTGTGGACTGTCTCTCCGAGGGAGACTTTAGCCAGTGACCCCACACCTCCCGCCCTGCCACTGCCACCCCCAGCCTCACCGTTGACGAAGACAGCAAAGCGCAGGAAGTCCAGGTAGCGCTCACCGCCGCAGGGGTTCCAGCCAATGTCTGGGTACCCTTTGGCCAGGAGCATGGGGCAGCTTTGGAGGCCACAGCCTGCCAGATAGGACACAACCTGGGGAATGGGAAGGGGCTCAGCCAGAGGCCAGACCCTCACCACCTTCCTCCCCAAGGCCCAGGCCTCTGCTCACCCTTGAGCTCCTCAGTCCAATTCATTTCTGGATCCCTCGGCAAACTAACACTGGTCCTGTCCACCCTCGTCTCCCACCTGGACCACTGCAGCAGTCTCCTCCCTGCCTGCTCCTGTCCTTCTCCCTTCCCCTCAGTGTGCTCCCCACACACAGCCAGAAGGACTTTGTGAGCACCTAAGTCAAATCACTTCCCTCCTCTGCTCAGAACCCTGTGGCTCCATCTCACTCGGGATAAAAGCCAGAGGCCTTGCTGTGGCGCACAAGATCCCACACGACCTGCCCTGGGCACCTCCCTGCCTTCACCTCCCACTGCTCACTCTTCACTGCCTCTGCTCCGGCCACACTGGTCTCTCTGCTGTTCCTCAAACTCCTGACCCAGGGCCTTTGCACTGGCTCTTCCCTCTACATAGAATGCTCCTCCCTCCGATGTCCATCTGGCCCCTCATCTCCTGAGCTTTACTCAAATGTCACTTTCTCGGTGAGGCTTTCTCTGACCACTCTTACTTAAACTTGGACACCTCCTGACACTTGATATTTCTCTCCCTGCTCACTTTTTTCCTCCTTAACACTCGTCACTAGCTAACATATTATATATTTTATTTATTCATGTTTATTACATATCCTCCCAACTAGAACATCAGCTTCACAAGGACAAAGACTTTTGTTTGTTGCTTGGCAGCTGGTCAGTATGGAGATCTGAACCCTTGACCTTGGTGTTACAGGCTGCACTCCAACCAAGGTACCCGGCCAGCCCGAAAGGCACTTTTGACTGTCATACCACTACTGCCTTGGACAGGTCCTGCCACTCAGTGGGTGTGCAATAAGTATTTGTTAAATGAATAATAATATAATAGCAGCAAACCGTTATTGAGCATTGTTTTACAAATACTTTCATGGACAAATACTTTCCTCTGGAGAATCTAAGTCACTTGTCCAGGGCCACATAGCAAGGGAGCAGGGGAAGGTGTACACAAGTTGCTGAACTCCAGAGCCCAGGCACTTTGCCACTGCACACACAAGGGGAGGCACAGAGGGCCAAGACACATGCCAAGGCCACTCAGCCAGGAAGCCCAGAGTGCGGATCTGCACGCAGCCCTGTAGCACCCTGTGAGTGAGCAAGTGGGTTCTGTTCTCTTCCTATGACTCATTGTCCTTAAAGGGGAGGCACAGAGGGCCAAGACACATGCCAAGGCCACTCAGCCAGGAAGCCCAGAGTGCGGATCTGCACGCAACCCTGTAGCACCCTGTGAGTGAGCAAGTGGGTTCTGTTCTCTTCCTATGACTCATTGTCCTTCTGATTTGCCCTGGACAATTGCCCCCAGAATGGATTCAAAATCAGCAGGGGCCTTAAGCAGCCAGGTAGGGGCCAGGCCTCCTTCCTCAGGCCAGGGGTCCACCCTCCACACCTTTTCCAGGTCCTGCTCCTGCAACGCCAAGGCCAGCTCATTGTTGTCAATAACAGAGGCAGCTGCCACGTCCAGGGGTGTGGAGCCCTGCATGCCTGTGGGGGAGACAGGTGGTAAGAATGTCTCACTCCTGCTTGTCACACCTCCTCTGGGAAGCCCTCCCTGACCACCCTTTTTCCAGCCTCGTGTCTCTTCTGGTTTGTGTTTCCCTCATCTCAGCCCTGACCACTCCAGGCTGCCGCTGTCTGGGATGGGTCTGTCTTCCACTGCACTGTGAACCCAGTGAAGGCCAGACAGGGCTGTCAGGGTCACTACTGTGTCCCTAGCACTACTCATTACAGGACCACAGTGGGCTGAGAGGGAGTGGTTGTTAAATGACTGAATGAATGAGTGAGCCGGCAGAGAGTAGGGCAGGCCTGGATGGGGTGCCAGGAGCGGGTTCTGGGGGACAGCTCCTAGGCTCAGGAGTTCTCACCGAGGCCAATGCCGCTGTTCTCCAGCAGATAGCTCAGATGGTCAAACATGGAGCGCTGGTTCTGCCGGCTGATGCGGCAGAAGTAGCAGAGGAAGCGGCAGCAGCTTGTCACCATCTTGGGGAAGCGGATCTCCTGGGATGGGCAGGGTGGACTGGTGGTCAGTGCCTGTCCTCTGTGGCTCCTTCCCTTGAGCTCCCCAGCGCACCTAGGCCCCCTTACCTTGGATTCACCACCCCCAAGGACATTCACCATGACCTCCATGACTGTCTCGTGCATGCCCAGTGCCCTCATCAGGTTTGGGTGTTGGTAGAAGACTTTATTGTTCATGATGTTGCTGTGGACAAGTAGAGTGTGTGGGGTCACCAGTCGCCAGGTGGGGCCCAGTCCAGAGAGGACATCGTGATAACAGCACTTAGTGACCTCTTACTGTGTGCCTGGTCTTTACAGATCTGAACTCATTCAATCCTTACTCTGGGAGGCAGGAGCTATGCTTATCCCTATTTCACAGATAGGGAAACTGAGGCATGGATCCAAAGTGGGCTCCCCTACGGTGGCAGTGTTTGTCCTGGTGCCCATTGTATCCTCAAGTGCCTAGAAAGGGCCTTACACAGTAGCTGCTTAATAAGTGTTTACTGAGTGAATGAGACTCATTTGCCACTGAGTGCTCAATACTACTGCAGCTATTCTTCTTACTGTTACTGTTATCATTCACCTGAGCTCACTGAAGCCACACAACTCTAGGAGTAGTCATGGTTCTTCCTCATTTTATAGAGGAGGAAACTGAAGCTCAAAAGGGTAAACTTTGTGCCAAGAGTCACACAGTGAGTAGGAGCTGCTACGACGGGTGGATGGAGAGGGAAGGGAAGGGGACGTCCCCCGGGGCGCTGGCAGGGATGTGCAAAGTGAGGGAGGGGCGGAGCTCACCCAATGCTCTGAATCATGAGGTTCTCCTCCTGGGGACCCATCTGCACAATGAGCAGTGAGCGGATCTGGCCGAGGCACTCGAGCAGACTCATGGTGTCCTCCACGGACGGTGGCGCGATGGTGTAGGCCCGCGGCAGGGCGCGCAGCAGCTCGCCGAGCCCGTCATACTGCCGGTGGAGGAGGCTGAACATGGCCCGGACCAGCTCGGGGCTCTGCACAAAGTCCTCCTGGGCCCAGCGCACCACAGTGTGGGATACCAGCTCCTGCAGGGACCCTGGGAAGGGGACGCAAGTGTCGAGCACCATGCCAGGGCACGTCAGCATGTGGGGCCTGGAGCCTGAACAATGCAGAAGGGGCCCCTCTTTCCAGAAGGCTCTTCAGTTACTACCACCCCCAACCTCCAGGAGCAGGTGGATTCTGTCAGATTTTTTTTTCTATCACCCCAGGAATCTCCCTGTTCTCTTCATCCTAATACCCAGTCAGTCCATAAGGGCCCCCTCCAGATTTCAAGAGGAAAATAAATTGTATAACTGCAAAACACCAGAGCACTATTAGAAGCACCTTCACCAGGTACCTTTGAAAGCACAAGTCACAACTCCACTTGTTCTGTTAAAAAAACTGCCAATTTTCCATCAAGAGAGACAACAGACACTAAGAAAAATGGCAAGGACTTTGGTATCATTTGAATATGAGGTCACAATGACTCTGTGATTCGTTCTTCCTGAGATCTGCCTCTCCCACATGTAGCATCCATTTATCTTTCCATCTCTCCTTCTCTCCCAGCCTTTTCCTTCCAAGAACTTCTGGGACAGAAGAGAGACATCTCCTGTGTCACAGGGTTAGGAGGGAACACTCTGCACTGGCATTGAACGATGGTCTTGATTCATGACCAGTGACATGTAAATCCTACTTTCCTTCCAGGGCCCTGCATGATCTGGTCCTGTCACTTTCCTGCCCTGGTCTCCCAGCACTTTTCCCCCTCGCTCACTTTCCTCCAGCCATGTTGGCCTGATACACCAAGTATGTCCCTGCCTCGGGGCCTTCGTACTGGCTGCTCCCTTTGCACCGATCATCTTCCCCAGATCTTTGCACGCCTTGCTCCCTCACTCCCACCTCTCCATCTTCCTCCCTCTCCCTTCTCTCACCCAGCTTTATTTTTCGTTTTAGCCCCAATGACCCCCTGACATTCATATATCCATGTCTGCATTTGCTGTAATATTCTAAACTCCTCAAGTGCAGAGGCTTGATTTCCCCCCTACTGTATTCCCCAGTCCTGCTAACGGTGCCTGGCCCAGAGTGGTCCCAATAAAAGTTTCTTGAATATTGTAGGATAAAACCTGTACCAATGTCAGGGACACTGTCCTTGTTAGATGTGGCTAATATATTTGCGTAAGGACACATTGGCCCAACGTTTTTCATAACTGCTTTTCTAATCCCTCAGCACAGTAACTGTTTCATCAAGAGAGAAAAGAAAAACAAAAGCCAAGAGGACACAGAAGCCACAGTGCTGCAGGAGCTGCCACCATCCTCAGGTGGGATGTATGCCTCTGCCCTGGCAGGCTGTATGCCACACTGGCCCAATACACGTGTTATGCAGCCCCCGCATTTGGGCGACACCCCCAGCACGCCTCCTCCCTCCCCAGCCCCCCGCTCTTCCTCTCTCATCCCTGACTATCTACCCCTCCCTTGCATTCCTCCTGAAGGTCTGTTTTGAATACAGGGCTGCCCGCCCCGCGCCTGCCCTCTCCCTAGTGGCTGCCATCCTCACGGGCTTTGCTCTCCTCGGCTGACAGCTCCTCCTTGGGTTTCTCTTCCTTCTTCTTCACCAGCCGAACTTTCTCCAAAAGGCTCATGAGGCGGCTGCCGAGGGTGGTCTCCTCCTCTGGTTCCTCCTCCTCTCCCTCCAGCTGAATTCCTGGAGGTGGTTGAGAAGAGAGGGAATATCATTTATCTGTTTGCTTATTTACCTGCTCAATCCTTCACTTCCTCTTCCTTCACCTGTTTGTTCATTCATTTCTCATTCAAGCATGCATCATTCATGGAGTTTTTCTTTTATTTCTTTATAGGTTAATATGTTTGTTCATTAATTCATTCTATGATTCTTTTTCTTTTTTTTGGACCGGTAAGGGGATCACAACCCTCCGTGGCACGGTGTGGTCTGCACCACGCTCAGCCAGTGAGCGCACCAGCCATCCCTACATAGGATCCGAACCTGCGGCCTCAGCGATGGGAAGTATCTAAAATATTTTAGCCAACATTGCATGCTACCAATTTCACCAATAAGGACTCTTTTTAACACTTACCATGCTAATTAACAAACCACTAAATACACAAATGAGAATCCAGCACTCTCCTGAGTGAGCCACGGGGCCCGGCCCAAACCATTTGTCTTTTAAATCAGCTATTGCAAATATGTTCAAAGAACTAAAGGAAACTAGGTCTGAAGAGTTAAAGGGAAGTGTGCTGACAGTGACTCACCTAATAGAAAATATGAATAAAGACGTACATAATATTAAAAAGAACATATAGAAATTCTGGGGTTGGCTGACCAGTTAGCTCAGTTGGTTAGAGCACTGCCTTGTAACACCAAGGTCAAGGGTTTGGTTCCCCATGCCGGCCAGCTGCCAAAAAAAAAAAAAAAAAAAAAAAGAAAGGAAGAAAGAAATTCTAGAGTTGAAAAGTATAATAACTGAAATTAAAAATCACCAGAGGGGTTCAACACCATATTTGAGCTAGTAGGAGAAAGAATCAGTAAATTTGAAGGTAGGACATAGAGGTTATCCAATCTAAGGAATAGGAAAAAAAAAGAATATCTAAAGAAAGCCTCAGAGACCTGAGAGGCACTATCAAGTGTACCAACACATACATAATGAGAGTCCCAGAGGTAGAGGAAAGAAAGGGGAAGAAAAAATATTTGAAGAAATAACAGGGCTAGCCAGTTAGCTCACTTGGGAGAGCATGCTGCCGACAACACCAAGTTCAAGGGATTGGATCCCTGTACCAGCCAGCTGCCAAAAAAAAAAAAGAAAAAAAGAAAGGGGGGGGGGAGAGAGAGAGAAGAAATAATGGAAATAACAGCTGAAAACTTCCCAACTTTGATAAAATATATATGTATATATATTATATATATTAATCTACACATTCAAGAAATTCAACAAACTCCAAATAGGATACATTTAAAGAGCTCCACACCTAGATACATCATACTCAAATTGTCAAAAGGCAAAAAAAAAAAAAAAGAAAGAAAGAAAATCTTGAAAGTCAGCCAGAAAAAATGACTCAGCACATACAAGGGAATCTCCATAAGATTATCAGCTTACTTCTCATCAGAAACAGTGGAGGTCATCCCGTCGTTCCTCCAGCTAGCCATCTCTCCACCAACTCAATCATCCATCCATTCATCAGTCCTCTTCACCGATCCATCCATCTAGCCAGCTAGCCAGCCAGCCATCTCTTCATCCATTTCTTTATTCATCCATCCTTCTATCCATCAATTTACACACCTATCCATTCACCTGCCTATAGCCATCTTCCCATATATTCATCCACCCAAATACTCATATAAACATACACTTCCACTTTTCACCTATCTGCTCACTAATACGCTCATTCATTCATTCAACCAATAGTTACATAGCACCAATACTGTAGATGTTTAAGGTCAGGAAATCTTAGGGAAACTTCAGAAGAGGTCTCAGGAGAAAGTCTGGGAGGGGGACTCTCTGATCCCTTCTCCTTACCACAGTGTGCCAGCAGATCTTGATGAAACTCAAGCAAATCCTGTCGAATCTCTTCAGGGAGAGGACAATCTTCCTCATCTGCACCATCTTTGAAGTGCAATAACAAGTTGATCTAGGGGTGGGTCAAATGTTAGAAAGAGGGTCTGAGGCCCCAGAGCAGGAACTCTGAGGTCAATGATTGAAGATGCAATTGTAAGTTCCTGTCTGAGGTCATGAATCAAAGTAGGAGTTAGTGAAGAATATCTGGGAGACTAGGGCCAGAGGTTCGAAAGGGGTCAGGGTCAGTCTGAGGTAACTCAGAGGTCAGGTTGATTCACAGAGAGGTACAAGAGTTAGAGATAAATATACCAATGGGCCGGGGGTCAAGCACTGGTTTAGAGGTTGAGGACCATCAGTGAGCAGAGTCAAGGGAGAGGCTGAGGTGGGGGGTTGTTTGTTTTTTCTTTGTAATCTTTCTTCGCAGCTGGCCCATAGAGTGATCTGAACCCTTGACCTTGGTGTTATCAGCACTAACCAACCTGTCGGCCCCTTTTTAATTTTCATTTATTTATTTGTTTATTTATTTTTGGAGGTTGGGGTTTAGACAGTCAGAGGAGCCAGAGTCAGGGGTCAGAATACCTGCTCCTGAGGTGGAGAGCGGAATTCGCGAGTACGTCTTGCAGTCTCAGCTGCAGACATGGTGAAGGCTTTCATAAGGAGACCATAGCGGTCCCTCTGGTTGGCCTGGAGCTTGTCCACATAGCGCTCTGCAAAGGCTGCCAGGGACTCCACACGGTGCTGCAGCTCTTGGTCACAGAAATATTCTAGCAGATGGCACATCTGTGGGAGAACAACCATGCAGTAGGAGGGATGATGATGAGACCACTTGGACTTCCTTGAAACTTTTCTTGCTTTCTCTCCCTTCTCCATGACCCTACCCAGGTTCAGCCACCACCATCTCCTGCTGGGATCCTTAAACCAGCCTCCTCCATGGTCTCATTCCACATGCAAACCAGGGAGATCATTCTAAGCCAGCATGACTTTACTGCTTGATGCATTTCCACAGCTCCCCACTGCCTCAAGACAAAGTCCAGACTCACGCCCACCAACCCTGTGTCTCCCAGCCCAGACGGACGGAGGCTGGAAAACAAGAACCAACGCACCTGTAACTTCACAGACTCCGGCAACTTCATCTGGAGCAGCCCCTCCTCCAAGCCTTCTTTTTCCCCTTCTGCTGCCTCCTCTTCCTCTTTTTCCTCATCTTCCTTCTCCTGTGCCTCTTCCTCCTCATCCTCCTCTTTCTCCTCCTCATCCTCCTCTTCCTCCTCTTCTTCCTCCTCCTCCTCCTCTTCCTCTTCTTCCTCAGTGAATACTTCAGGCTCAATCATCTTCAGAATCTGTTTCACATCCTCATCACCAAAGACACCCATCACCTGCAGAACAAAGCCTGTGTCCTTTGGTGTGGCCTACAAGGCCTCCATAATCAGGCCCTGGCCTCACTCCCCAGACCTGCTTCTCCTGCACATGCTAGTTTTATTCCTGCACTGGCTGGATATAATGCCTCCCACAAGCAGGAATGGCATCCACTGCCTTGCTGTCCCCCTAGATTCACATCCTGTGTCCCACCCACATGGCCCAGATCACATAGCCAGGCATGAGCACTTCTCCCTTCACACAGGTAAGTCCTTTCTCCCAAGTCTGAGCTATGTGGCTCTGGGACAAAATATACCCTACACCCGATGGAGGCCCTCATGGTTCCTAACATACATCAGCTATACATCAGTAAACACACTGATGTCAACAGTTGGAATTAGAGAGAGTAGATGGAAGAAGAGGAGGGAGAGAGAGAGATGGCTGAAGGGAGGACTGGGTGGCTGGATGGATGAATCGATAGACGGAATGGTAGAGATTTGAAGGGGAGATGAATGAATGGTGGGTCATGATGGAGAGATGGAGGAAATGGTGGAAGGATGATGGGTGGATGGATGACAGAAGATAAATGATGTAGAGGTAAGCGGGTAGGTGGATGGATGGGTGTATAGATGCATGAGCTAGTAAATGAGCATATGGATAAACAGATAAATGAGTAAATAGCCATAGGTTGGAATGGAGTGGATGGATGGATGTATGGGCGTGTATATGAAAACTTGCATGGATAGGTATACGGATGAATGGTTAAACAGGTATATGAATGAAAAGGTACATGAAGTAAAGGATGGATAGAAGGATGGAGAACAGATGGATGGATGGGTGGACGAATAGGTGTGACGGCTGGATGGATTTGTGGGTAGGTGGGTGGGTGTACATACATGTGGATGGAGAGATACATGGGTGAATGGAAAGGTAGGTGGAAGGTGGAGGATTGAATGGATCTGTGGATGGGTGTATGGATGGGTGCACAGGTGTACAGGAGATGATTCTTGGATGTGTGGAAAGAAAGATTAATAGAAAGATAGATTTAAAAAATTAAAAGAAAGGGCCGGCCCGTGGCTCACTCAGGAGAGTGCGGTGCTGATAGCACCGGAGCCACGGGTTCGGATCCCATATAGGGATGGCCGGTTTGCTCACTGGGTGAGCGTGGTGCTGACAACACCAAGTCAAGGGTTAAGCTCCCCTTACCGGTCGTCTTTTATAAAAAAAAAAAAATTAAAAGAAGGATTAATTCTTGGATGTATGGAAGGATTAATAAATAAATTAAAAAAAAAAAAAATTAAAAGAAGGATTAATTCTTGGATGTATGGAAGGATTAATAAATAAATGGGTTGGTGGATAGATGAATACGTAGAGTGATGCGTGAATGAGTGGAAGGACAGATGGACAAACACACTGAAAGTTGGACAGGTGAATGTATGTACGAATGGATGCATATATGGGTGGCGAACATACAGACACAAAGACAGACCTGTGGATGGGAAGATGAGGGTATATATGAATGAATGGACGGATGTGTAAATGGAAAAGTACGTGGAGGACAGATGGACTGCTGGATGGATGAACGGGAAGATGGAAGAAGAGGAATAAACATGAATAGATGATACATGAAAGGGTGGAAGGAAAGGTGAATGGAGGACGGATAGACGATGGGAGGATAAATTGAAAGGTGAATGGATGGATGGATGGAGAGATGAGTGGGTGGTTGGATGCCTAAATGGGAGGGGGTCGATATACGTATGGATGGGTTATTTGGAATGCGGAAGAATGGAACAGAGGGAAGCAGGAGAAAGCCATTACCAGCAGGGTAGACACAAGCTTGAGCACGGGCACGAACTGGAACTCCACGGAGCCCCCGACGGGGTCGCGAGCGTGCTGCCCGCCGTCTCTCACCGCCTCTCCCAGCATTCTCAGGGCCTTATCTCGCAGGGCCTCCAGAGGGATGCTGGGGCTGAGCCTGGCCGGGGATTCCGCTACTGGCAGGGCGGCCACGAAACAGGGGGGTGAGAAGTGGTGCGGGGGCCTCAGCGAGGTGAAGACTCCAACGCCAGGAAGGCCGTGGCGGCGGGGACCGTTTTCCTCGCTCCTTCCAGGTGGGAAGAGCGTGATGGCGCGGGTCTCAGACGTGAGGGGCACGATGTATTCAGACAGCATGGAGCGGCGGCTGCGACAGGCACTCTCAAGGTGGATGCTGATGAGCAGGTCGTAGTAGCCCGCGCGCAGCGGGCCCGGCAGGTGCGCGTCCTCCAGCGCGTGCAGCAGCTGCGCCTGGTCCACGTGGCTGCACAGAGCGTGCGCCACGCGGTTGTTGCCCAGCGCGCACACGGCGCGGTAGAGGCGGAGGGTGTGTGAGTGGAAGCGCTGCAGGTCCAGGCGCTCCGACAGTTCCAGGATGTCCATGCACCTGCGGTGGCGATGGGGAGCACAGACAGGGGCAGAGCGGGCGGAGGAAGTGGGAGACAGAGAGGCAGAGATGCTTAGGTGAGTGTTGGCGGCTCCAGCAGGGAATCCCAGTGTCCCGCCGGGTCAGGGCTGTGGAGCTGGGTCCCACGGTCTTTCAGTGGGTCTGGAAGTCCCTAAGTGCTCTGGGGATGGCCTGGGACACTGTGGGTATCTGAGAACATCTGATGACCCTGAGATGAGTCTGGGATCACCAGACTGGGTTTGAACCTCTCTGGCAGGTCTGAGTGCCCTGGTTCTGTTTGAGCTTTTCTAGAATCTAAACTCCACCAGGGCAGGACATTTCTGCCCGTTTTGTGTTTGTTATATTCCCAGCTCCTAAAACAACGCCTAGCACATAGTAAAGTGCTCGATACATATTTGTTGAATTAATAAATGAATGAATGGGTGTGTCTGGAGACCTGGGGATGGGTCCAAGTCCCGTAGGGCAGGTATGGTCTGAGCACCCTGAGTTATACAAGGGCATTTCAAAAAGTTTGTGGTAAAATTGAATTAAGAGATAATACAAATCCTTCCATGAAGTTTTTGAAGACCCTTCGCATGTGAGCGTTATTAGAATGCCACTTCTCTAGGGCATAGTGTCTCCAGTTAGAATACTGCCAGTCACAGAGAAGGAGTCTAGAGCTATTTGTCAAATGAATGAATAAAGGAAAAAATGAGGCACATCAGAAGCCTCCTGGAGTGAGTCTGGGATCACCGGCCATGTTCAGAGTCCTTAAAAGTATTTCTAAGGGCCAGCCCATGCCTCGCTTGGGAGAGTGCGGTGCTGATAACACCAAGGCCACAGGTTCAGATCCCTATGTAGGGATGGCCGGTTCGCTCACTTGGGAGAGCGTGGTGCTGACAACACCAAGTCAAGGGTTAGGATCCCCTATTGGTCATCTTTTTTATTAAAAAAAAAAAAAAAAAAAAAAGTATTTCT